TAGGTGTATCTGCTGGGGCTCCAAGCCCCTGGCCCCCTACCTTTGCCCCGCCCCTGACTGACCAGTGGGCCTTGGGCCAGTGACCCCATATCAGTTACCCCGTCTGCAAAAAGGGGCAGCTGTGGCTTAGCCGGGTTGGCTGGGAAAATGAAATAAGATGATGCCCTGAGAAGCACTTGTAAGGCAGTGGCGCACTGGCTTCTCAACACAGCACACACACCCATGGCTGCCAGTCTTTGGGCTGCTGTGAGCACCAGAGCTTGGTCAGCGCTACAGAACTGTGCACGTGGACTGGCCTTTGGGTTGTGTTCCTCTCCCTGCCTCAGCTTAGCCTGTGCTCCCTTGAAGAAGATCTTCTCTGTTCCATTTACTGGACAGAATGCTGGAAACTGCAGAACTCGGCCTCTTGGATCTGGACCACCCTCCAAGCCCTCTTGGATTGATCCCTCATTGGGATTATAGGGCTGGGGGGCAGGGGCCTGACCTCTGTCCCTCCCCCTGACCCATCACATTTATGCCCTATTCTGCCGACCAGGACTGGGCCACTCCTGGGGACGGGACGATCTTGCCTTATACTCTGGATCTAGGAACAGCTAGTCACTGGCTGGGGCTCCTGTGGAGGGTTCTGGTGGCCAAGGCTGGCTCCATCCACACTAGGGGAAGCCAGGCGGGCGGTGGTTGGAATCAGCGCCCCATCCTCAAGCACGAAGGGTCAGTCACATCCCCTCTCCCCCCACAGGTGCCCCCTGAAAACACTGCAGAAGTGTGAGATTGCCCTGGAGAAGCTCAAGAATGACATGGCAGTGGTGAGTGGGGCACCATGGCCTGGTGGTGTTCAAAGGGCCGCAGGCATCTCTGGGGAAACTGGGACTCACCCCACAGCAACTCATAACCACAAGCTGGGAGAAGCTTCACAGTCAGGCGTGGGTAGAGGGGGCACACCGCTCAGCCTCGGGACCTTGCCCTGGAGTCTTCCTTCCGGTCAGGTCGGCTGTGGGGAAGGAGAGCATGTGCGGGAACATGGGAGAAGTCACCCTCTGGCTGTGGTCTTGTGGGTGTTCCCTCCATCCCCCAGGTTCGCGGGCTTTGGTGTACGCCCATCTCCACCATTGCGCTTCCACCCGCCCGCGCCCAGCACAAGGCCAAGCCATGGGGGTAGGGCTCTCTGGGGAAGGTCAGGGCTGCAGGAGGCAGGAGAATGCATGCAGGATCAGCTGTATTTGTCTCCAGGGGGCAGAGGTGGTGGGGAAGCTGTGGAAGTCTGGCTGTGAGGATGAGGACCTCGGGGTCTGGAAAGCCTCCCCAGGAGTGGGCTGCTGACCCCACTGTCCTGTCCCAGCCCACGCCCCCACCGCCCCCGGTGCCGCCAACCAAACAGCAGTACCTGTGCCAGCCACTCCTTGATGCTGTCCTGGCCAACATCCGCTCACCCGTCTTTAACCATTCCCTGTACCGCACCTTCGTGCCGGCCATGACAGCCATCCACGGCCCACCCATCACGTACGTATAGCCCAGGGCTCAGCCTCGCACTGGGTGGTGGGCCATGGGCCACAGCCTAGCCCAGTGTGGTGACCACAGCTGCCTCCTCCAGAGCCCCGGTCATGTGCACCCGGAAGCGTAAGTTTGAAGACGATGAGCGGCAGAGCATCCCCAACGTGCTCCAGGGGGAGGTGGCCAGATTAGACCCTAAGTTCTTGGTGAATTTGGATCCTTCTCACTGCAGTAACAACGGCACCGTCCACCTGATATGCAAGTTGGGTGCGTACCGGGGAGGCGGGGCTGGTGCTGTGGGAGAGAGTCCTGAACTCCAGCCCCAGGGCTCTGCCGCCAGCCCCGACCCCAGAGCAGGCCCAGCCCAGGCCCACGTGTTCCATCGGGGCATGCCCTGGGCCTCCCACAAATAGGCACACTCACACCATACCCTGAAGCCCACCATCCCCACGTCCTCCTGGAACCTGACACATACCTGTCCTAGGATATGCCCTGAGGGCTGAGCCCCGAGCCCACACACTCTCTTCTCTTACCGCCTGCCGGGGAAGCCCCCTCCCTGCCATCCAGGTATGGAGCCTGAGGCCCAAGGGAGATGTGGAAGCCTGGGAGTCAGAGCGACCTCTAGACTTTGCAGCAAGCCTCACCAGAACCTTTTGGGATATGAAGGGCCCTGTTTGGAGCAGGGCTGTGAGGCAGGGCAGACTGGGGCCTTGGGCCAGGTCACAGGCACAGCCACGTGTGTTACAGATGACAAGGATCTCCCGAGTGTGCCACCGCTGGAGCTCAGTGTCCCTGCCAACTACCCCGCCCAGAGCCCACTGTGGATCGACCGGCAGTGGCAGTACGGTGGGTGAGCCGAGAAGACAGCCATGGCGAGGCCTTATGGCTGCTGTCTAGGGGCCCTGGCAGCGGGGGTCAGCTCCAGGCCACCCGGGTTTCCTCTGTGCTCCCGCAGCGGAGGCCCCTCCTCCACTTTCTCTGGCTGCCCCTTTGTGGACAGGAGTGGGGTTGCCCAGAAATCACTTGGAGAGAAAGGGGTCTCTGTACCTTTGGTCTTCTTCCTTCTGTCTTGCATCTGCAGGGCAGCCATGTTTAGTGGGTGAGGAGTGAGCAGGCCCCGCTGCCCCTGGAGGCCTCTGCAAGCTGATAGGGGAACACAGAAAGAGCTAGGGCTCCTGGAGACCCATCTGGGTGACATGGCTTCAAACCAGAGGCCCAGAGAGAGCCCTGTTGATGGGGACCGGTGACCCTGCAGCTCAGAGCTGGTGCATAGGGCTGGGATCCCAAGGCTGTCCCTGAGGGAGAGTCCTGGGCTCCAGACCTGTCCACGTTCTAGTTCTCCACTGACGCGTGGGCCTGGGAGGGGAGCCCATCAGCCATCCCGCTGTGTGTGGGAGATGGCACCCCTGGGCACGTTAGCTGGGTGGAATGCCCCACACGCCAGCCCTGTGTCTGGGGCAGCCCGTTCGTAGAGAGTTGCTGTGTGGCCCAGTGGCAGGCCCAGCAGCACTAATGGCCCACTGCTCTGTTGCAGACGCCAACCCCTTCCTGCAGTCGGTGCACCGGTGCATGACCTCGAGGCTGCTGCAGCTCCCCGACAAGCACTCGGTCACAGCCCTGCTCAACACCTGGGCGCAGAGCATCCACCAGGCCTGCCTCTCAGCTGCCTAGCCACCCAGCCACTGGGGACCACGGGGAGAGCCGGCAGCCTTGTCAGGGCCACAGAGGACATGCACCCTCGTGTTGGACATTTCTAGGTGTTGGCTCCCTTAGAGAGCCTGGGCTTAGATTAGCTTTCCTGCTTTTATCTTCTGCCTTGGGGACCTGCCAAACATCCTCCCACACTTGTATATGACTGGGGCAGGTGGCTGTGGAGCTGGCTGCATCAGTGGTGGAGTTGGGACGTTCCCCAGGGGGTTGGACATGCCACCAGCCCTGTGCGCTCCTCCCTGGGCTGCTGTCCCCTCGGCCTCTCCAAGGCCCATGTCCTTCCTCAGTAGCACGGGGAAGAACTCAGGGTCTTGCTAGAGCCTCGTGTGTGCACACCAGAAAATACTTCCTGTTTCTGTAGGGGAACGTGGAAAGCATAGGAAACCCTGAAAACACACACAGAATTCTCTGGTCACGGTTTTGGGTTCAGACCCAGCCACTTTGGCATTTGGGGCAAGCCACAGGGAAGCTCCTGGATCCAAGGGCGCTGGCCGAGTCTCAGAGGGAAGGTCGGCCTGCAGGCAGTTGCAAATCCCCTGCCATCGCCTGGGCCTCATACCTCATGGCATTCTCCCTTTAAGCCATGGGGGTCTGCTCAGCACTGTGGGGGTGCCTGGGGAGCAGGGGCACCTGGGTGGACCCTGTCCCGGCACCGTGCCCACTCCTGGGTCAGGGCAATGTCCTCAGGACGTGGCGTCCTCAGAGCCACTCCAGAGAGTGAAGGCTCCCTGACAGGGCATCAGCCCACCGGCCCTCTGGTGATGAGAGGTTTCCCCTTTTCTATGTGCACTACCGTGTCATCTGTGGTTCTTACAATAAATTTATTATTCCTGTGTTTGTCGTGAATTTGTTAGTGTCCCCTCCCCTCCAAAAGTCTGGGGACCACTGGCCAGTGAGGAACGCTGTCGGGGCTGAGCCAGGTTCCCCACCTTGGAGATGGCCATGGACGCCCAGGCCTTAGGTCACCCTTTTTTGAGTGCTAGTGCCTCGGCCTCACCCAGGTTTCCGGCCAAACTCCTGCTGCCCGGAGCCAGAAGAGGCAGAGATGAGCACTGAGGAAATGGCCAGTGGGGCCCGGAGCACGGCCCTGCCAGGGGCGGTCCTGCCCACACCCATGAGCCTGAGAAGGCTACGGTTGTGAGGACCTCGTGGGGTAGGAAAGTCACAGGGTGGGGCCCCAGAGCCCTGGAGAGACCCGCTCTCCCGCGGCCGAGGCCCTCTGGGGGGGGGGGGGGGAAGGCAGGCTCGGCAGGATGGCTCATCAGCTGTTTGTCAGTGTGGAGGCCGGCCGGCGCCGACGGGGGCGGAAGGCGTCTCGCCCTGTGCCCAGGGCCAGGAAGCCCCCTGCATTCTGAGAAGGGAGAGCATGCCAGGCCCCGGACTAACCCGAGCCCCGGGGACCGCCCTGGCAGGCCCCTCCCCCTTGCAGGGAGCAGAGCTGGGGGCGCAGAGCGGCGCAGTGATGCTGACAGCAGTGAGGGATGAGACGCACAAGTGGAGAAACGAGCTTTATTTCCAGTCTTCAACGGGGTAGGGTGATGCTTATTTCATAGTGTTTTCCTGTAAACGCAGAATAAAAAAATACCGAGCAAGAAAATAATTTCCCAGTTCTGAGACCAAGTACTTTATCTGCGACGAGTTTTGTTTATCTGGAATTTCGCTTGGCCTAAACGTATTAGAATTCTTTGGAAGTGCTATCTAGAGAGGGGGAGGGTCTCCAGCGGAGGGGTGCGGGGGAGGGGCACGGGCCTGGCCGAGACCTGCCGCGCAGACGCAGACGCAGACGGGTGCCGCGGGCCTCAGAGCACAGAGCGGTGCAGCCGCCGGCTCTGCACCACCTGCAGCCTTTTCTGCCGCTCGGCGAAGTTACTCTTCAGGGTCTGCTTCAGCGCCGGCAGGATGGAGCGCTCCGCCACGGGCATCGGGCTCAGAATCAGGCTGTTCGGGCAGAGGGACGTCACTGCAGGCGCCATCGGGAGCAGGAGGAGCAGGAGCCGAGACGTGGCTGGCAGTGCGGCCCCAGGCAAAGCACTGAGCTGTCCCGGTCCCTTCCGTCCGGGGCTCGGAGGCCACCCCACCCTCCCCCTGCCGGTGGGACTCACCATTTCTTGGGGACGCCCTTGGTGGGGACCTTGGGGAGCTGCGTGGCTCCCGGGTGAAGGGCCTCCTGGTCCCTTGAGGGAGGAGTCAGCAGTGAGCCCCAGAGGAGCAGACCTTGCTGTGGTGGGGTGGGGGGCCGCGAGGGGTCACTCACTTGGGAGAGCTGGGCTCAGCCTCCTCGGGGGCAGCCTTGGACCTCTGATTCCTTTCCAGGAGGGCCTTGAGGTGCTGCAACTGGAAGGCAGGGAGAAGAGGGGCAGTGGGCGGGGCCCGCGGAGGCACTGCCCTCCCCGCCCCCCCCCCCCCCCCCCCCCCGGCAGCCCGAGCCTCACCTTTTGGGCTTGCAGGAGGTTGGCATTCCACAGCTGGCGGATGACCACCTCACACTGCTGAAGCGTGGTGGGCTTGCGCAGGTAGGGGGGCAGGCTCATCGCGGGGGGCTGCTTGCCCTTGTGCTGGCTGCCTGCCGCCAAGGCGGCCACTGCCCTGGAGGCCTCCCCTTCTTCATCTCTGGAACAGTCACTGCAGCAGCCCAGAGCTAGCCTGCCAGGATTTGCTCTAACCACCCGCCACCTCTCTCCCAGGCAGCACCCGCACCAGTGTGAGACCGGTGTGGGGATGAGGGGTGTCCACACAGCCTCCTCAGGGCCTGGTTCCCTTCTGCTGACCAGGGTGGTCCCGGCACCCGGTGGGGGGGCCCCTCCGGTGCCACCTTGTGACCTGGGCCCACCCCTGCCTCCTCTCTCAAGGTGCACTGAGGGTCAGATGTGGTTCAAGCTGCGTGGCTGCCCTCAGCCCTGACCCCACACCTGTGGGGCTGGTTGAGAGAGAATCTAAGGACTGTGCGGAGAAGCGGGAGCCTGACCTGCTGGTTGCCCTACCCAGGGGACAACGGGGTCTCCGTTTCGGAGACAAAGTCCAGGTTCCTTGCTGCTTTCCAGGGAAGTCCCAGAAACTCAGGTGTCAGCACCCGGTCTTGCTCTGGCCTGCTGGCTCCATGCCTTGCAGAGGCCAAGCACCCTTCCCGGGGGTGAGCCCAGGAACCCGACTTAACTGTTCTCTTGGTGAACAAGTTAATTTAAAGGCCAAATTACTTTGTTTCATTTCTGTGAGAAAATGTTTTCGGGGCTGCTTGTTGGCACCCTCATGTGGGCTCAGGTCAGCACAGGGACCCTGCAGACCCTCGGGAAAGGGGCAAGGCATTGCCTACCAGATGGGCAAGCCTGGAGCGAGTCGGCTTTCACTCAGGAGAGTGGCCCATTTGGAAGGGCAAAGCAGCTGGCTGATTGCAGAATGTGAACCTACTAAATGGGCGCTGGGCCCACGGGGTCCAGGTGAGCCCTTACTTGGCCGGCCCCTGCGTCCCTGGGGCTTTGTCCAGCTTGCTATTGTGAAACACGGCAGCAACTGGGCTCTCCTCTTCCAGGTCCGTCTTCTGGGGAACGTCAGCTTTCGAGTCTTGCTTCTTGGAGAAGCTAAGCTGGGTCCTGGCCTTGCCTTGAGAGCTGGCTGCAGCCAGGGCAGTCACTGTGGGCATCGAGAACCAGTGCCCAAGTCTGCCCAAGGAGTGCCCGCCCCCCGCCTCGGTTTCCGCCTCGTAAAGGAAAGCTGGTAGAAGCGAACGAGGGTCTGAGGGTCTGTGGGGGGTGCCTGCTGACTGCTGTAGAAGCTGGCTCCGTGAAGCAGGCCGGCCCCACGTGTACTCAGGGAAGGCCGGGGCTGGGGGGTGGCCCCACAGCTGTTCCCGGACTCTGAAGCAAGCACCCCATTTTGGGCAAAATGACACTGAATGAAAGCTCTGGGACCCGGCCTGCACAGGTTTCGTTTCCTTTCCAAGGACAAGGCCCACTGCCTGCCTGGGCCCTGCGTAGAAAGGGCAAGGGCTGCCCCTGTGAGGATGCCGGGCCTCAGGAAGGCAAAGTGGGAAGAAGAGGCTATCAGCTCCCTCCCTCTGCAAAGGGCACCACAAGCCCAGAACTCTAGGCGGGGCCATCCCACCTGCTTCCTGCCTGCTTGGGTGGGGTGGGGTGGGGTGGGGAGACAAGATGAGCAGGGCTTCTGCCAGGCCACCTGTGTGTCACCTCTCCCTGGAAGACAGCTTAGGGAGGCTCAGAGGCTCCTCTCTCTGTATGTCGGGCTGCATCTGCTGTAGGACCTTGTGCCCCACGTTGGCGTTCACTCCCTTTGTAGCCAAGCCCACCAGGCTTTTGTAGCCTCCCTCTGGCCAGCCCAAGGTCCTGTCACACCCTGCCTCAGCCCCTTCCTGCTGGTGTCAGCTCACGACACCTGGGGGTCACCCTCCTTGGCTCCCTTCAGCCACCCACAGAGCCTGGCAAAGGTGCTCCCCTGAGGTGTGTCCAGCGGAAGACCACCAGGGGTTTACAGCAACCTGGCCAGTGCCCCACACTGGCCATTGGGCCCCGGGCCCCAGTGGGGCCTGTGCCCCTCCCCTGACCCTGCATTCACGGAGGGTGCGGGTGCGTGCTCACCTGACATCGAATTTGAGACGGACTTGATGGACTGAAAGCTGGAATTGGAAATGCTGCCTGTGGGAGAACGCACAGGGTCAGTTGGCAAGCCTTCCATCCTAGTGTCACCAGACACTTCCGCCCCCCCCATGGGTGAGGGTCCAGCCACCTGTGCCCTCCTGCTGGCCCTGCAGGCCTGTGTATTCATGCAGGGCCCTCCCCTACTCTGGTGAGGCAGAGCCAAGGCCAGGGGAAAGGTGATTTCTTGAAGGGCCATCCAGAAAGCAGTGGGCTTGGGCCCAAAGAAGCCCCAAAGGAGGATGACCTCTTCTGCTGTCCCACTAGGGACCTCTGGTACCACAGGACTGGGACCACTAACAGGCCCTGCCACTTGCCAAGGACAGCTCACTGGAACTGCTCTTGCCCCGTCGGAGGAGGGCCCACCACCACCCCATTCTCTCTGTCCCCTAGGAAAGGAGCCCTGGACAGCCCCCAAGACTGGGGCATTCCAGGCTAGCACCACTCAGACTTGGCCCGAAAGGTAAGTGGGAGAGAAGGCCCAAGACAGCCTGAGTCTCCCTGGGCTGGACTGCAGGACCCGCAAAGTGGATGGGCTACTATCAGGATGAGGTAGGGCCATGGGTAAGTGGCTGTAGGTCTCTGCATCTCTACTTCCTTCCCGCAGCCCTCTTGGTCATTGTGGAGTGGCAGAGAGGCTCCCTGGAAGGACTGTGCCCAGAGCCTTCTGTGCCAGGAAGTGATGGACCAGAGGCACAGGGCTGGGGCTGCCCAAGGCTTGCCAGCGTTTTAGAGGGAGCCTGGGGCCTGCCATAGCAGCAATCCAAGGAAAAGAATCCCTCAGAGCAGCAAGGCTAGGGAGGGCAGCTGCTCTGCCGGCTTCCCACCTGCACAGACCTCAGGCCTTGGGATCCCCAAGAGCCCCACCTGCTGTGCTTGGGTGCACAGCCACCCAAACCATGGCTGGGGGCAGTGGCGTCTGTCCAGGTCCCCCAGGACCCCTCCCCACTGGGACAGGCCAGTGCGGCTAGCTGGGTGGACACAAGCAACCCAGGGGCTGCTCCAGACATCAGCAACTTCCCATCAGGCACCCGAGGGCCTCATTCTTACCTTTCTTTGGCTTCTGATTCATTATTAGCTTGTAATGGAGATCTGAAAGCAAACACATGCTCCGGTCATTGTTGAAGGTGCTGCCACTTTGAGAGAAGAGGTTTGCTTTGCCCTGGGCACTCCCTTCCTGCTGAACCCCTGAGAGACTTCACACATGACCTTGGCAGCCAGGACCCTGCCCATGGGCCAAGTCTTTGCCCTGGGTGCCCTAGGACCAGGAATACCTCTGGCTGTTCCAGAGCCGGAGCCTTTGGGTGAGAGCCTTGCCAGAAGTCCACCCATCTGCCCATGACATCTACAAGGCACCCTCTGCTAGGTGGGGCCCCCGCTCCAGGAGGACAGAGGTGAATCAGGCTGACCCAGCCCTCCAGGAGCCCCTAGGCATGGATGGGCAAACGTGGTCAGAGCAATGATCAAGTGACCCCCAGGACGTGGGCAGGCCACATCCAGCCTGGGCATCAGGGAGGGACAGGGGTGAGACTCAAAACTCCTTATGTCAAGAGGGGGGAGTCCTGACGTAATGGATACCCCTTGATCTCACACTTAGCACTTCAAGTAAAGACAGCAGGAGAAAGGTGGGGAGAAACTGAGGCAGGACTCAGAGTGTGGGGGGAGGAGCTCCAGCTAAAACATAAGGGAGAAGAGAGAGGGAGGCAGAGTAAAAGGCCTCAGGTTCTGCTTCAGGCCTGGCCCATGGTGGTGAGGAGCCACCAGCCGGACCAAGTTAGGAAGCCCCTGCCCTGAGGAGACACGTCTGCCCGGGAGATCTGGATAGTGCCGGGCATGTAAGCCCTTGATTTGGGTGCGTTTAGTTTGTGAAAATCACTGAGCTGTATGCTTGCACTTTTTACTTCCACAAAAAGTTTTTTTTAAAACAGGCGGGCCTGACTTGCCTAGAGACAAGACTGCGGCCGGGCTCACTGCGGGGAAATGCCACATACGTGATGGCCCTGACGCACCCCGACCCCCAGGACGACCCTGGTTTGGGGCCGGTGGCGGGGGAAGGGAGTCGAGACCCGCGTGGCACGACCCGGGGTGGGGCTTGATGCCCTGTGTCCTTAAAACCCTGCGTGCTCTAGAGTCCGCGCGTGTTTCTGTGCTGGAGGCGCCAGGGGGGCGGCAGGTCTGCGTCTCCCTCGGGCCCCAGCCGCGGTGGGCGCCCCACCCGCGGCCCCGCCGCCCGGACTCACCCTTGTTCTCCCGCTTGAGGTACTCGATCTCCTCATGGAGCTTGACCAGCGTCTCGGAGTGCTGCTGCTGCAGGAACTGCAGGCTCTTCTCCAGGTCCAGGACCCGCTTCTGCGCGTCGCTGTGCCCAGCCTGCGCGCCGTGCTGTCCCGGGGGCTGGAGGACCGTGGGCGGGCGGGGGCGCGGGCGCCACGCGCCCCGAGAGCCCGGGATCCCCGAGCTGGGGGGCCGCTGCCCGGCCGCCGCCACCCCAGCGCTCATGTAGCCGCTGCCGCCGCCGCCGCTTCACGCCCACTCGGTGGCTTAGCTGCCCGGGCCTGGCGCCGCGTCGCCATGGAAACGGGCGCGCGCGAGGGGGCGGGGCTGCTTGTGGGGGCGGGGCCTGCGTCAAGTTCTACCCTGACTTGAAAGGCATCCTGTGAATTGAGATCATCGGCTGCCTTTACAGTAGGTCTTAATATCTTTGTATGCTTGTTTTAATAGTTCACTTTTTGAATAGATGATACGGATTAAAGATTCAAAAATCAAAAAGGTTGAGTTTCCACTTCCAGTAATCACAAAGCCCTCTGCTTTATGAAATGTGGACAAAATACATGAAACAACTGCCTAAAAGCACTGGAGAAGAACAACAAGCACACAGAAACTGGACAAAGGCAGCTCTTGAAAGAACTGCTTTTCCCCGAGGGCTCTCTCGGGTCAGCCGGACCTCAAACAGGAAGCCACAGGCCCACTGGCTGAAGAGGCGGAGGATGGGAAGGCCACTGCTGCTGGAAACTGAGGGGGCAACACTGGGAAGTTTGGAGCCTCTGCGGATGAGGAGCCGAAAGCTATAAACTTCGAATATGTGGCTGGCCTGAACTGCCCACGTGTGGGCACAATTCCAGGGCCTCCAGGGAAGGACAAAGAGCTGGAAGGCCAAAAGCTGAGAAGAGATTCATTTGCTACCAGTTCCAGGGGAGACCAAGTTTGGAGTCTGACAGAGGGGCCTGGTAAACGCTTCAGTTTTCCTTCTAAACCTCAAAAGGGCCACACCTTGGGAATGAAGACTATGTTCTAGAAATGAGATTTGCCCTAGAACTAAGGGCAAAATCAAAATATATCCGCCCTCATAAAACTTAAAGCCCAGGCTCCACAAGTTTGGAGTAGTGTTCCATAATTCAACCATCTGAAGAACAAAACTCAACATTCTTCAGAGAATTATAATAGAACCCAGAGTCTCTGTGTCACATCATCCATGATGCCTGATATAAATAATAATTTCTGGACATGCAAAGAAACAGATAAATGTGACTGAGTCAAGAGAAAAAATTCAAAAAAATATTCAGACTCAGTCAACAGAAATAGATCTGCAAATAATTCTAGATAATACATTTATGGGAAAGTACTTTATAATAAATATGATTAAAATCTACAGAAAAAAAGGTGGCTGTAGTGATTGATCATGGAGAGGTTTTTTTTTTAAGATTTTATTTATTTATTTGACAGAGAGAGAGAAGGAGAGTACAAGCAGGGGGAGTGGGAGAGGGAGAAGCAGGCTTCCCGCTGAGCAGAGAGCCCAACATGAGGCTTGATCCCAGGACCCTGGGATCATGACCTGAGCTGAAGGCAGATGCTTAACGACTGAGCCACCCAGCCACCCCATCATGGAGAGTTTTTTAAACGATTGATAAAGTATTGGGGGAAAAAAAAGGAAATCCTAGAATTACAAATGAATCCGGACTTCTGGTTTCCTGGTCTGGCATTGGAAATCATCACTCCCATCCAACACAAGAAAGAAAATAGCTGAGCAAGCTGAAAAGCAACAACTTTTCTTGGATCCATCAGAGACCTGAGATCACAGGACAAACTGCTGCCCCAAAATTGGAGAGACAGGCAGGCGAAAACAGAATCACAGCATGCTGGAGCAGAAACCTCTGTAGGAACCACTACCAGGGGAGGAAGAGCTAAACTGTAACTGATGATTTGCTGGTGTGGCTCAGTGTGGACAAGTTCGGAAGTTTTAAAAAATCCAAGGTGGGGGGTCCAATCTTAAAGGGCCCTCATACCTTTGTGAGTTTAACCTTCAGGAGTCCTACCAGATTCTCATGAGGAAGAATGGGGGGAAGAAAATCCCTTTGTGATCCCAGCAGGAGGAGGGTGAAGTAGCCATTCTGAAATATTGCTCAGAGCATTCTGTTCTTCTTTACTTGGCTTGCCCTCAAAAGAAACTAGGATGGCCCCAAATGCCAAACCGGACCTGGAGGAAAAGAAATACCTCTCTAGCCCCCTCTAGCCTTCCCTCTCTCCACAGCTTTCCACCACATCAGTGGGGCTCCTGTATAAAAATGGGATACAAGTGAAAGAATTGCCCAACTGAGACCTAATTCAAAAAAGAAGTTTCTAGAAAAACCCAAAGATAACAAGACAAATTGAAGGCACCAGGGGAATATTTTGCCTCTGACACCTATGTCTATAGCAAACAGTAAACATGGACTAAATCCTAGCAAGATAAATATAAAATTTCAAACTAAAGGTCTGTTTACCTCAGTTTCTTCCACACAATGCATCATGTCCAACTTTCAACAAAAAAATTACAAGGCATACTAAAAGAAAAAAAACATAATTTGAAGAGACAGCAAGCATCAGAGCTAGACTTGGATCTGGCAGAGATGTTGGAATTACCAGATTGGGAATTTTAAACAACTATGATGAATATGCTAATGGCTCTAATGGAAAAAGTGGACAATATGAAAGAACAGCTGGGTAATGTCAGCAGAGAGATGGAAACTCTAAGAATAAAAAGGAAATGTGAGAAATCAAAAACACTGTAACAGAAGTGAAGAATGCCTTTGATGGGCTCATCAGTAGACTGGACATAGCTGAGGAAAGAATCAATTAGTTTGAAGATACGTCAAGAGAAACTTCCAAAACTGAAATGTTAAGAGAAGAATGAATGCAAAAGAACAGAACATCCACAAATTTTGTGACTATTACAAAAGGTGTAGCATTTGCATCCTGGGAATACCAGAAGGAGAAGAGAGAAAGGTACAAAAGAAATATTTAAAGCAATAATGACGGATAATTTCAAAATATTAATGAAAGACAACAAATCACAGATGCAGGAAGCTCAGGGAACACTAGGCAGAATAAACACACACAAAAAATCTACTCTAGGCATATCATATTCCAACCGAAGAAAATTAAAGACGGAGAAAATCTTGAAAGAAACCAGAGGAGAAAAAACCATCCACCCAAACAAACCTTTATCTATAAAGAAGCAAAGACAGAATTACATTGGACTTCTCCTCAGAAACCATGCAAGCAGTGAGAGAGCGGAAAAAGATATTTCATGTGGAAAGAAAAAAGCCACAAACCTAGAGTACTGTATCTAGCTACATTTTCCTTCAAAAGTGAAGAAGAAATAATAAAGACTTTCTCAAACAAACAAAAATTGAGGAACTTTGTTGCCAGTAGCTCTGCTTTGCAAGAAATGTTAAATTCTTCAGAAAGGAGAAAAATGACATAGGTCAGTAACGTGGATCTACATAAAGAAAAGAAGAGCATTAGAGAAGGAATAAAAGAAGGTAAAAAATATTTTCTTTTTCATATTCTTTTTTTTTTTTTTTAAGATTTTATTTATTTGACAGAGAGACACACAGTGAGAGAAGGAACACAAGCAGAGGGAGTGGGAGAGGGAGAAACAGGCTTCCCGCCGAGCAGGGAGCCCGATGCGGGGCTCGATCCCAGGAACCTGGGATCGTGACCTGAGCCGAAGGCAGGCGCTTAACAACTGAGCCACCCAGGCGCCCCCTTTTTCATATTCTTAAGACTTTTTAATTTTTACTCTTTTAAGTAGGCTCCACACCCAATGTGGGTCTAAAACTCACGACCCCAAGATCAAGAGTCGCATGCTCCACCAACTGAGCCAGCCAGGCTCCCCTTCTTTTTCATATTCTTAATTAATCTAATAGATAACAGTTTGTTTAATCATAGCAACCACACATTTAGTAATTATAGCTTATCAATAAGTGAAATGAATGACAGCAATATTATCAGAGATGGGAGAGAGAAATTGGAAATATCCTAAAGTCTTGCACTACCATGAAGTGGTATGTTATTCTAAAGAGAACTTGGATTCACTGTAAATGTATACTCAAGGGCAACCACTTAAAATAGTTTTAAATAAAAAGTATAATTGATATGCTAAGGGAAGAGAGAAAGGGAATAATATAAAAGGCTCAGTTAAAGGAGCACCTGCCTGGCTCAGTTGGTAGAGCTTGCAACTCTTGCTCTCGGGGTCATGAGTTTGAGCTCCATATTGGGTGTAGAGATTACTTAAAATAAATGAACTTAAAAAAAAAAAAAAGGCTCAGTTAAAACCAGACAGGATGGGAAAAGAGTGGAAGACCAAAAGAGAAACAAAGAACAATGAACAGAAAACATTACCAAATATGGTAGATAGTAATACAACTGTTTAACAATCACATTAAATATCAATGGATCACTACACCAACTGAAAGACACAGGCCATTGGAGTAGATAATAAAAATGAGGCTTTGGGGTGCCTGGGTGGCTCGGTTGGTTAAGCGTCTGACTTTATTTAAGATTTTATTTATTTATTTATTTATTTGACAGAGAGACTGACAGCCAGAGAGGGAACACAAGCAGGGGAAGTGGGAGAGGGAGAAGCAGGCTTCCCGCTGAGTAGGGAGCCTGATGTGGGGCTCGATCCCAGGACCCTGGGATCATGACCTGAGCTGAAGGCAGACACAACAACTGAGCCACCCAGGTGCCCCTAAGCGTCTGACTCTTAATTTGGCTCAGGTCATGATCCCAGAGTCGTGAGATCAAGCCCCACATTGGGCTCCCTGCTGGGCGTGGAGCCTGCTTAAGATTCTCCCTCTCGGGGCGCCTGGGTGGCTCAGATGGTTAAGCGTCTTCCTTCGGCTCAGGTCATGATCCCAGGGTCCTGGGATCGAGTCCCGCATCGGGCTCCTTGCTCAGCAGGGAGTCTGCCTCTCCCTCTCCCTCTGCTTCTCCCCCTGCTTGTTTTCTCTCTCTCTCTCTCTCTCTCTCTCTCTCTCTCGCAAATGAATAAATAAAATCTTAAAAAAAAAAGATTCTCCCTCTCCCTCTGCCCCTCCCCCTCCCGCTCTCTCTTAAAAAAAATGAGGCATAATTTTATATTGCCTAACAAGAAAGCCAACTTCATTCATTTTTTTATTTTTAAAGTAATCTCTACACCCAACATGGGGCTTGAACTCACGACCCCAAGATCAAAATTCATGTGCTCTGGGGCGCCTGGGTGGCTCACATGGTTAAG